CCCACAGGGAAGAGTCTTCTCCCCCTCCAGAGGAGATCTCTGAAGCCGCACAGTGCGTATCGTAAATGTAAACCTCCAATAGATACTTGTACTCTCGCATTGTCTTATTAATTATTGGCTTGGCGACTAAGTAGGTGCCCTGTTACCACAGGTAGGCTGTGGGGCGCTCCTTACAATAGCCCCAGACACGGCTATGCCCCAGACACGGCCCAGGGTGAGGCAGTGGCTCTGTACCCCGACTCCAGCCCGGGTCCAGCCAGCGATTGTCGATTGCGTGGGCCGTTCAATCTCCTCGAAGACTGAAGACCGAAGAGTCAAGACTGAAGAAACCGAAACTGAACCGAGCTATTTATAAACGCAATGAATGGGCAGTCACCCATTCAGCGGTGCAAAATAATAATTGCTTAGCTCAATTAAAAAAAGAAAAGACTACAAGACTGGAAGACTGGAAGAGACCCCATGCCGAACCTCAAAGCCTTTAAGACAAAAGCCAGTCAGGTCGTCTTCGCTTCGGAGGTTTCTTCTGGAGGCTTGGACTTCTCTGACACTGCGTAGGAGGCGCCTCTTGCCAAGCCTCTTGCCGTGTGGATATTAATGAATGACTCTGAGACTGGGACTGAGACTAATCATTCTACCTCCGAGTCTCTCGCACATCTGAGTTATTTGATCTTGGCCTAATTTATGCAAAATCATTATTTCATTTTTTTTCTTTTTTGTGCTTTTTTTTTATCAAAACAATTATTTGGGAATCTTTCGCATTTCCGGTTATGGGAGGATACTGGCACGTGCTCGAAGCTCGCTCCACGAAGGGATGAGGATGAGCAGATGTGCGGAAAGAAAAACGAGCTGGGATAGTAAACAACAACAACAACAACTACAATAATATAAGGAGGAAAAACCATTGAAATTTTGTTCGCGCCTAGCCAGCGCGTGCGCAGGGAGCGGGAAAATATGCTACAGATATAAGGATTTTAATATTTTTGAAGGAGGGATGGTCGGTAGGGAGGTTGGAGCGACTAGGGGCGCGACAGGATACTCCACCTCCATCATCATCAGCACAGCTCACAGTCAGATGTTCGGCTTCGAACATTTTGCGGTTTGTTTTGCTCGCCGGCTACGCAAAAAAAATAAAAAGGAAAATCATAAAAAAAAATAAAAGAAAAATAGAAGAAAAGAAAGTCAAGTAGAAAAATGAAAAGAGAAACAGAAATTGTGTTTGCAGAGACACCAAAAAGGGTGGGAGGAGGTGGCCAAGGTGCCAAGTTATGCTGCACCACCCACCACGGCACCCGGCACCCGGCACCCGCTCTCGGCTCCCCACTTTTCCGGCTGAAAGTGAAAAGTTTGCCAAAGTGCGAGAGGCGGGAAATCATAAAAAAAAAACGAAACATTTCACCAAAAAAAAGAAAGAGAAACAAAATCAAAAGCGAAAAAAAAATGAAAATCCTTCTAAGGAATTTCCAGTCAAAACAAAGAAAGAGAAGTCTACAGAGTCTACAGTCTAATTTGAAGGACTTCCCTGGGATTAATGGGCGTATGATTGATATTAAGTATACGCAAGGTGGGTTTTAGGGCTTCGAATAAGGCTATAAGAAGCCTCTTAATGGTGAGAAGTACTAGTGACGAAAAAATCTCATATAGGAATACAAATTATAATCGCCAGCCTGTCTTAAGTTAGTATCTCCTCGAAAAATTCCCCCAAAAACTTAAAAAAAAATGAAAAGCCTGCCCCCCCCTTATGGGGATTGGAAACAAAAGCCAAAAACTGAGTGGAAAACAAAGGCTGGGAACAAAACAATCCAGCTGGGAGATTGGGGAGACATTGGTAGATGGGCCAGAACAGGACTCGCCGCGGCCCGGCCCGGCTGGCAGGACATGCAGGCTAGCTGCAGGATGCACCTAGCTGGCAAAGCTGGTAGACAGTTTCTGGACCAAGTCCGGGGGACGTCCTTCGGGCCGACTCGCCGCAGCGGAAGTAACTCGCTGGGCGCTGTTGTGGCTGATTATGCTGCCAGTGGCAGCAACAACAACAACAACAACAACAACAAGGACGAAGAGGGGGGAGCAAACGCTGTCTGGACCATGTGAGCGGCGGCTTTCTGTCCCTCCCGCTGTGATGCCAGTACGGGCCAGTTTCAATTTATAAAACATATAAATTATATATACAGATATATATATATATATATATAGAGGTACAGTTATATGTGTAAGGATATCCTGGCAGCCGCCATGTCCTGTGTCCAATGTCCTTGCCCCCCGCGAGCAAACAAAAAAGGAAGTACCCCTTCCACAACAATTACACAACAAGAAAAAGGTTTGAAGAAAAAACAAAGACTCTCTGATGGAAAAAGGACTAAAAGGATATGTTTTAATTTTTGAATTATTAAATAAAAAATATTATAGTTATAGTTCATTTAAGAAAACTATTTAAAAGACTAACTAGACCTACTGGCTCTATTTTCAAAAGCCATCAAGCTTAGTCCTCCCTGTGACCTTCTAACCCCTTTTATCCTTAATGTCCTTGCTGGCCCAAGCCTTTAATAAGCCGTTTAATTAAAGCCAATTTTAAATTCCACTGCTGGCCAAAAATTTGTGGCCGCAGCTGGACAAGACTTTGACGTCCACATGACGACACTGCGTTGACACTGCGGGTTGCAGGACAAACAGGACGCAGGTCCTGTCCTCTTCTGTGAGGCGGTGGACACTGGCAACGGTGCAGAGTGCGGGGGTGAGGTGGAGGCAGTTGTGGCACACGCTGTTATTTGTTATAACAATTGCAAATGCTGAAAACGCGAGGAGGACGTTGCCATGGCAAGGCGGCGGCAGGATAACAAAAAGCCATCGGCAGTGCCAGTGCCAGTAGCGGTAGAGGTAGCGGTCGCCCGGTCGCCCGGTCGGTCGGTCGGTCGCTCATTTAATGGACACTGTTTGGTCGATAATCAAATTAAAAGAAAGCAAGGTGGAAAAGTCGAAAAACAAGAGCAGCCAGGCGCCACCAGGACCGACGACCATGAGATGGTCACGGTAGGGTCAGGTGGGTCAAACAAGGGTTAAACGGTGGCTAGTGGGGTTGGGTTAGGCAGCAGGTGCTACATATAAGCGTGCCGCTCGATTAGCACTGACCATCATCGATATAGCCATCGAATCCTGGCCAGGATGTTTGTTTACTGAAGCCCAACGGCCGACAGCTGGCACAACCCTGGGGTTAATGTGCATGATAATGGGTTAATAGTTGCTTTTTCGGGTTTCTCCCCATTGGGAGTAACCTCTCCACCCCACCCCCACCTATTTCCTCAAAAACTCCCAATATGTTGTCGTACATGAACATTGCGGCTTGTTCTCGGAAATTACTCATCAGACCATTGTCCCCCCAAACTGTCGGCCCCCACGGTCCCCCTCTGATAAGCGTAGCACCCATGGGCGGCATGACGAAATGTTGTAAAAAATTCATATTGTTCTTGTTGTTGTTGTTCCTCAGTGAAGATCAAAAAGATTCCAAAACACAGAACAGAACCGAACAGAAGAGCAAAAGTATCAGAATCGAAATTGAAATTGTAGCAATTAATTATGAGGTGGGAGGGAGGGGAAGGGAGGTGGTGGTGTGGGGGCTAACAACAGCAATTTTGGGGACACCATAAGAGAGATATTGATAAGCGAGAGTGAGAGTCGCATTCCCAGGTCCGATGCTCGTCCGATCGTCAGCAATTAGGCCTTTTTCTTATCAAGGCCCTGTTACCAGTTACCAAGAAAAGAAGAAAACCCATTGGGGTACTTGTGTTGATTTTGATTTGTAAGACAAATAAACCCAAAAAAAAAAAAAAATACTAAAAAAAAGACACAAAAACAGAAACAGAACCAAGAACCAGAATAGCAAACAACTTTGCGAGCAATTAAAATTGTTTGACGACATGGGGGCGGCAAGAAAATAAAAAAAAAAAAATAAACACACAGAACCATAGTTGTAGAAAAAGGAGGTGGGGTGGGGTTAGAGGTGTGCCTGGCGGTGGTCGAGGAGGCAAGTGCGTCAGTGTCCACTCGGTCTTGTTATCTAGATAGGACTGATAACGTCCGCTTGCTCACTCTACAAATGGAAAATCTGTGCAAAAAAAAAACCAAAAAGAGAAACCAAAAAGAGAAACCCAACAACACCAAAACAATATGCCTTTATGGTGGGGACAATCCATATTATGACAATGATATGAATGTGGATACTCCAACTCGGTCTTTATTACGGCGGGTTTACGGCCCTGATTTTCCTTTGAACTTGGCCGTTTCTCGTTGCAGACTTAGCCAGCGTCCAATACGCTGAATATCTAGAATATCTATATACCCACCCCCGCACCCCCAACAACACCACTGGAATCCAATGGAATACTACTCCAATAATTGACACACACAAGCCCCACACATAATAACAAAAAATCTGAAAAATCATGGCTAACACACCCCAGCGAGTGGCTCTGATTTCGGTATTGCGATATCGCAGCGATAACCGCACTAGATACAAAACAGAAAATATACACCAGAAACACTAAAACAGGAGACTGATATGGCCTGACCATAGGCCCAGTTAACGGGCCCATCACTACAGTATACAGTTGAGATCATAATTCGTCGAAAGGTGACCCCGACAAGGGGGAGTGGTGACCTCAACAGAGAGCAATCAAAATTGGTCAGGTTGGAAAACCAAGAACCTTTATGGCCAAGTTTCCGAATATTAGAGATAAGCCGGCTTTCAATCGAGTTGGAAAACAAATAGAAACTTTAAAAGGACATAATTGGACAAAAGGTGACCCCGACAAGGAGGAGTCAGCTGGAGAATAGTGACCCCTATGGAGAGCCATAAAAATTAGTCACCTTTACAGCCAAGTCATGGTGACTACAAGTCATTTTTCAAAGAGATCCTAAGAACTCCCCCTATATTCCCCTATATATACCTAAATATATATATAACTCCAATTGGAATTTATTCCCAAAACTCCTCCAATTCTTGAACTTACCTTGTGCAATTCGAACCGCGGGCATTTTAATTCTCATTTTTGTTTCCAGTTTCCGAAGGTGTTTGAAAACTTCGCAGACACGGGACCAAATACCCCACCGAAGGGCAATGTCCTGGGTGTCCTGCTGCTGCCGGTACGATGGCTCTCCAATTGGTACAAAGTGTTAGCTTTCTCAACCAAAAGCCTTTTACGAAAATCTACAGTTAGTATATTAGGCCTAAGCTTGTCTTTTTTAGTTTGTATTTTTTAAATTCTTTTTTTTCAGGTTAAAGATAGTTTAAGGATATTGCACTTGTTTCGAGAAAAAAAAAATAGGGTTGCTTCTTCTAATCAGACAGTTTCTGTTTGGTTTTTGTTGTTGTTGTCATTTTGAGGGGTTTTTCGCTCTCTTAGCCATTCCATCTTAGCCATCTTATGTTTTCATGAAATAGACATGTTATTTTTTTTTTTGTTTCATAAAAAACACACTACTATTACACACTTTTGTGATTATTTCGGTATTTTTTTTGTTATTGTAGGAACCTTTTAGCACTTTTGCTTTTCTAATTGGATGTTTTGGCGCTTTATTATAATGGTTGTTGTTTGTTTAGTGTTGTTTTTGTTGTTGTTGTTGCTTATCATTTGGCAGTTGTTGTTGTTGTTGTTGTTGTCACATTTGCACGCGGTTTTCGTATTCTACTAGACTTTAGTAAATATTTTCCAATTGGAGTACGGAGTACGGAGTGCCAATCCCGATTCCGATTCAGATGCCGATGCCGATGCCGACACCCCAGGCTTATGGTTGATAATCCCAATTGGTTATATTTCTCGCACACACTATATGCGCGACACTTGAAAAAAAAAAATTGCACTTTGTTGTGTGTTTCTTATCTCGTATATCCTTTTGTTTTTTTTTTTTTGTGGCAAGATTTGGGTTTTTTTGTTGTTGTTGTTGTTAGCGGTCAGCTAACGGTTTTTTAGCGGCTAACTCGCAACACTCGGAACTTACAGCTATCGCAGCAGCTCCGACTAACGTGTGCTAACGGTAACGGCGGAAGTACGCGACTACTTGCGACGATTCGCCGCCGCTGCCTGCTGCCTGTGCTGCCAGTTCTGGCTGATGCCTGGTCGGTCGGTTGGTCTGCTGCCCTCTGTCGCCGCGCTGGTCTGCTGCCGCTGCCACTGCCACTGCCACTGCCTCCGCCGCCGCCGCCGCCGCAGCGCTGTTCAAAGCCCAAAGGCCCAAAGCCCACAACCCACACAACAACAGCAACAGCAACCCACACACACAAGCGTGCGCGCACCAAACACCATACCATACGCGACGACGCGCGATGCCCCCGAACGCAAGCGAACGTGTTGGAAGCGAGCCGAAAGCTCTCGCAAAGTGTCCACAACACACCACAAGGGAGATACCCCACAAACACACACACACAGAAAGAGAGTGCGAGTGTGAGAGAGTGTGAGAGAGAGAGCGGCTGCTGGTGCTTGGTAGCTTGGGGGAGAGATTGCGAGCTTAGGCGAACATGTCCGAACGCGACGATGTCCTGCGAGCGACTGCAGATAATTCAATTTTATTTCAGGCTTTTGCCTTTGCCTTTGCACTTTAATGCCAATCTGGCAATTTGATTTTGGCTAAAGCGAAGCTGACGCCGCCACCGCCGCCGCCTGCGTCGCTGCCACTGTCGACGCCAACACAGCCCTTTCCTAACGGTACTGTTGGGTGGTGTATCGGGGGTGGGTTAAGTTTGGATGGGTGGTGCGGCGTTTGTTTATTTGCTGCCTTCGCCGCCGGTCATGTGCGTTTATGTACGATTCTATATGTGTGTGTTTGTATGCATGTGTGTGGGGGTGGACATGCGTGCCAGAACGAGAGGCACACACACACACTCACACCAATGCAAGGGGTGGTCCTAAAGTGGTCACTCTGGTCACTTTTCCGTTTACAACCCTCTCAACAGACAGCAACAACAATAACAGGATTTTAAAGCGCGCGCGCACCTTTGGCGCTACAAATCAAAGTCATTTAAAAGCAACAACAACAACAACAAAAACATTAATCCTTTAATTATAGAGAGTTAAGAACCGGTTTCTATATTATTTACATAAAATAATACATAAGTGTATTAAAGGGGGTTAGTTATAAAACATAAATATTTATAAATGGAATCCCCATCTCCAAGCTCTTCCATCCGCTTTGGGGAGCCCTTCCAACCAGAAGGCCCAAAAGCGTCTGATGGAGCCTTGCAACTGCAACTGCCGGCCGACCAGCCGGAGCCGGCTCCAACCGAGCCCCAACAAGTTGTAAGCTCGCTGCCAGCGGCGATCTCTCGCCAGCTCCCAAAGGTCATACTCGCATATCCCTGAATGAATGATCTTCCCCAATCGTGGCCACCTCTCCCCCACTCCACGCCATCTCCTGGGCAGTTGCAACATCAAACATGTTCGGCCCAGTGGCCCCCCGAAAGTTTTGAAAAAAAAAAATAAATAAAAAACTGGACGTTCTGCCGGCGTTGAAGTTGCGGCGCTTCTGCCGCTGCCTCTGTCGCTGCTGCTGCTGTTGCTGCTGCCATTAATGTCAGGCTCTTTGATGTGAGAATCAGAGCTCTCTTCGGCGTCTCATCTCGTCGCGTCTCACATATGGGCGCTTTGTTTGTGTGTCGGTGTGCGTGTGTGAGCGAATTGTTTTTGTTGTTAATTGGTCGGTGGGTGGTTTGGAGAAGGGGTGGGGGGGACTAGGGGGGGGATGAGGGTTGTGGTTTTCGGGGTGGGGGGTCATGTGGCTTCTTTTATTCTCAATATTTTTGTTTGCCATAAATATCCTTAACCCTTGGCGGGACTTGGGCTTTTGGGGGCTTGAATGGCCATGCCAGGCACACACAAACACACACATGTATTTGGGGCTTAGGCCTTATATGCACACGCACACTAACACTCACACATTGAAACTCACACATATGTGGCGTCGCACACGCGCGTTCGTCATCGATTGGCCGTCGCCTGCTCTCGCACATTTGTTTGACAACCGCCGCCCTCCCCTCGCGCCTGGACCCCTTTCACCCCTTAACCCATCAGCCTCACCAGCCTCCCCAGCCACCCAACCCCCCCGGGCAGCCCACCCACCTGCTGCCGCTCTCTTTCGTCGCACAGGTAGCCCAGCAAGAGAGCGAAAAGGAAACGAAGCTCTGCCGGCGCCGACAGAGACACGGCCGGAGAGAGCCAACCCTCTCGCGGGCAGAGCAGCGGGCCGAAACAGAGAGAGAGAAAACAATGTGTGCCACGAACTGCCAAGGTGAGGGCTAGTTTCTTTGGCCTCCCAGGCGGTGCGGGGGGAGGTGGGCTGTTAGCTGTGGGCCTTGGGCGGCAAGGGGTCGTCGGGCATCGCCGCATCTCTTATCAGTCGAGCGGCGAACGCTCACATGGCCAAGCCGGTCAGCGGACTGACTGCGAATTTTTGGGGCCTGGCGGAGCTTTACTTGGAGCTCGACTTGGCCAAAAGGATTAAAAAGGACTTTATTTTTAGGCTTTTTAATAAAGAAATATCAAGGTCAAGAAAAGGTTTTATATATGAAGTTTTAAATATGAAATATTATACATTTTGGTTGGAAAATGAAGTTGATTTAATCTTTTTAAGCTTTATTTAGGGTTTACAAGCTTTATTTCCTATATTACTAAAATAATAATAATAATAATAATAGTGGTTCCCCTACCATAGATGACCTATAAACATAACACGTATACGACCCATTGAACTAGAATGTTTGGGGAATTACTCTTAACATTAAGAACCCATTTGTAACTCTTAAACCTCTCTTGGAGTATCTATATTAAGTATTAAAAATCATTTAATTAACATTTTGGTTAGGATTTTTAGAAATCTACAAGCAAAAAATATTACGTATACGTCCTAGGGACATTCTCTATATTTTTACCACTTCTTTTAATCATTAGTCAACTAAATCAAGTTCTATCCTAAAATAGTAAACAGTTTCTTAATCCGAGCTCGGAATATTAACTTTTTAGATAAAAATATTGAAACAAAATATTTTTTTAAATTTTAATTAATTTTTTGACATTTTGGCAAGGGACATCACAAAAATTGATTAAAAATTTTTAAAAAATATTGTTTTTCAATTTTTACATAGTTTAAAAGAGCTTTTTAATATTATTTTAAGGTATGCCATTCCAAAATCGAAGAAAAAATAATGGAGTTATAGTCTGGGGAATAAGTGTTTTTTTTCAAAAAATATGAATAAATGGAATTTCAGAATTTTTATCAACTTTCTATAACCATAACTCAGTTGCTATAAGTCATATGCCTAAATAGTAAACAGTTATGTAATCAGGGCTTTAAATACTATATTCTGAGATTAAAATCTTAATATGATATATTTTTCCAAATTTTAGTCATTTTTTTAAATTTTAGCCATTTAGGGTAGCATCATAAAAATTGAAAAAAATATTGAAAAATTAATATTTATCCAGATTTTAGCTAGTTTAATAGAACTATGTTTTAATATTCTTTTAAGGTATACCACTTAGAAATCAGCCAAAAAATAGAGGAATAAGAGCTTTAAAAAAAGTGATTTTTAGGAAAATATAGATTTTTTAAATTTTCTTATGATTATGACTTTTTATGATCATTTCTTAATCATAACTCTGCCAATGTATGTCCTATCCCTAAACATCCCTAAAAATCCTATAGTAAACAGTTTCATAATCAGGGCTCCAAATACTATCTTTTAAGATCTAAATCTTGATATGCAACATATTTTCAAATTTTAGTCTACTTTTTCAGGTTTGTCAAAAAAAATTGTTTCCCAGATTTCAGCATAGTTTTATAGAATTATGTTTTAAAATTCTTTTAAGGTGTACCACTTAGAAATCAGATCAAAAATGGAGAAATAAGAGCTGTGGAAAAAAGAGATTTTTAGAAAAATATGGATTTTTGAATTTTCCTATTTTTGATCAACTTTCTATAACCTTACTAATAACTTAGTTACTATAAGTCCTATCCCCAAATAGTACACAGTTTCGTAATCAGGGCTTTAAATACTATATTTTAACATCAAAATCTTGATAAGCCATATTTTTTTCAAATTTTAGTCATTTTTTAAGATTTTGGCAAGGGGTAGCATCATAAAAATTGCAAAAATACGGGAAAAAAATGTTTCTTAGATTTTAACCTAGTATATTAGTACTATTTGTAACTATTATTTTAATATATTCCACTCCTAAATCTCTCATGAATCGCCAGAGTTATGACTTCCCAAAGATGAGATTTATGCCAAAATAAAAATTTTTAAAATTATAAACTCAAAAGGGGGTGGCTGGCTTACCTTAATCCAAGAAATGGGAGTTATGCGGATGAGATTCGGATTCCGATTCCGCGGCGGTGAGATCAAAGCAGGAACGAGGGAGGACCGGACGGCGACGGAGGGATGAAGGGGGGCAATTATTCGCAAAAACCAAAAGGCGAGTGCGAATTTTGTCAGAGTCTGATTCGCGATTTCGAGAGGAGCCTTCACAATTGCAATGCTGGCAATCATTGGGGTAACACATATGCACATCCAACAGGGCATTATATATGCAGGGCACTGAAAGAAAAAAGGGCAGGTTTACTTTACTAAACTTTTGAGATATATCTATAAATGTTATGGTATATTTTATAGAACCTATTAATAACTCTACATAAGATTAACTTTTTTTGGGGGATTTATTCTCTCAGTGTATAGCCACACTTATAATATATGCAGATGGAGGCCCGGCTCTGTCTGCTATCGATGGACGGCATTATATGATCCGAACCAATATCCATTGTCGGCAAGATGTGAGAATTTCTTGACAAAAAGCTAAAAATAAAAAAAAAAACTCGAAAGAAAAAAAAACTTTAAAATTTAAAAACAAAAACACAAACAATAACGAAA